GGGCGGGGAGGCATGGGGGCGGCCACAGCGGGAGCACTCCCTGGCCTGGGGGCCCCCCTCACCTGTCCCTGCCCCTTCAGACATGCTGTGTAAGAAACAGACGGAAGACATCAGCAGCGTCTATGAGATCCGGGAGAAGCTTGGCTCGTGAGTGTGTGTGTGTGAATACGTGAGCCGGTGAGATGATGTGTGTATGTGTGTGCATGTGAGTGTGCGATTGTGTGACAGCATATGTGTGTGAATGTGTGTGTGAGGCGGTGTGTGGGTGTGCGGATGCGTGTGGCATGGTGTGTGAACATGTGAGATGGTGTGTGGGTGTGTGACTGTGAACTGGGTGTGTGAAATGGTGTGTGGTGTGTGTCTGTGGATGTGTGTGTGAGATGGAGTGTGAGTGTGTGCGTATGTGAGATTGTGTCTGAGTGTGTGAGATGGTGTCAGCGTGTGAGAGGTGGTGTGTGTGAGATGATGTATGCGTGGGTGTGAATTCAGGAGATGATTGTGTGTGTGAGACGGTGTGAGTGTGTGTGGCCGTATGAAATGATTTGTGGGTGAGTGCATGAGATGATGTGTGTGTGTGTGTGAGTGTGTGAGGTGGTGTGTATGAGATGGAGTGTGTGTGAGCTGATATTCGTGTTTGTGTGTGAGCTGTGTGTGGGTGTGAGTGCGTGAGGTGTGTGTGTGAGCTGATGTGTGTGTGGATGTGAGTGCCTGAGATGGTGTGTGTGTGTGTGTGTGTGTGTGTGCGCGTGTGTGCGTGTGAGATGGCGCGGGGGTGTGAGTGCGTGAGGCGTGTGTGTGTGGGAGTGCGTGTGGTGGGGTGGATGGCGTGGGGCGGGGGGCCTCTCCGTCTCCCTCGGCCAGGGCCTTCCCCCTCCCACACGCCCCCTCTCCCCGCCCGTCTCCCCATGGTCTCCGGGCAGAGGCGCCTTCTCGGAGGTGGTGCTGGCTCAGGAGCGGGGCTCCGAACACCTCGTCGCCCTCAAGTGCATCCCCAAGAAGGCCCTGCGTGGCAAGGAGGCCCTGGTGGAGAACGAGATCGCAGTGCTCCGCAGGTGCGCGCCCACGGGGCTTGCGAGGGGCCCGCTGGCCTGGCGGCCGCGCCCTCAGACCTAGGCCAGGCCTGGGCCGGCCAGCGGGGAGGTCCGGCAGCGGGTCTCTTCCCCTCTGGGGCCCACATGTCCTTGGTAGTCACCGGGTGGCTAGCGAGCTGTGCTGTTCAAAGGACTTCGGAGCCCTGGGTCCCAGGGACAAGAGAAGGGGCCTCCTGGGGGTCTGTGTGGCTGCCCGCCCACAGGCTCTCCTCACTCCTGCAGGGTCAGTCACCCCAACATCGTGGCTCTGGAGGACGTCCACGAGAGCCCGTCCCACCTCTACCTGGCCATGGAGCTGTGAGCGGCGGGTGGGCCATGGGGGGCAGCGGGGCTGGAGCCTGGGCTGGCTGCCCGGGTCAGCTGAGCCCCTTACTGCCCCCAGGGTGACAGGCGGCGAGCTGTTTGACCGCATCATGGAGCGTGGCTCCTACACAGAGAAGGATGCCAGCCACCTGGTGGGGCAGGTCCTCGGCGCTGTCTCCTACCTGCATGGCCTGGGCATTGTGCACCGGGACCTGAAGGTGCCTGGCCAGTCCCCACCCGTGTTGCCCCAGGGTGTGGCCGGGGCCCCTCCCAGCTCCCTCTCCACCTGGGGTCTGGGGCACTTGCGGGCCGTGCCAGGAGTGACTGGGCCCTTTCCTGGTGCCCACGTGTCACAGCCTGAAAACCTCCTCTACGCCACACCCTTTGAGGACTCCAAGATTATGGTCTCCGACTTTGGCCTCTCCAAAATCCAGGCTGGCAACATGCTCAGCACTGCCTGCGGGACCCCGGGATATGTGGGTGAGTGAGGGAGGGCACCCTGAGGTTGGCTGGTGTGGGCGGGGCTGGGGGACCGTGGGCAGCCGCGTGGGCCCCGCCCTTGGGCTTGAGCAGGCCAAGCCGGCGGCGCTGAGCGGCATGGCTGCGTGTGTGCGTGTGCGTGCGTCTGTCTGTCTCTGGCCCGCAGCCCCGGAGCTCTTGGAGCAGAAACCCTACGGGAAGGCCGTAGATGTGTGGGCCCTGGGTGTCATCTCCTACATTCTGTGAGTGACCGCTGGGAAGGCTGTCTCCTGTCTGCCTGCCCCTGCTGGGTTGGGGGGGCGGGGCAGCCAGGTGACTCATCTGTGGGCACCAGGCTGTGTGGGTACCCTCCCTTCTACGACGAGAGCGACCCTGAACTCTTCAGCCAGATACTGAGGGCCAGCTACGAGTTTGACTCTCCTTTTTGGGACGACATCTCGGAATCTGGTGAGCTGGAGGTTGGCTCGTTCTCGGGGTGGCCAGGGGTTAGGGCAGGGCCGGCTGACCTGGTCTTTTCGCTCCAGCCAAAGACTTCATCCGGCACCTTCTGGAACGAGATCCCCAGAAGCGGTTCACCTGCCAACAGGCCTTACAGCATCTTTGGTGAGTGGGAGTCCTGCCAGGCCGTCCTGGGGCCAGGGTGTCCCTCCGCTGACCTCGAGCCTCTTTCCAGGATCTCTGGGGACGCGGCCTTCGACAAGGACATCCTGGGCTCAGTCAGCGAGCAGATCCAGAGGAACTTTGCCCGGACTCACTGGAAGGTCAGTGTGAAGAGTGCCCCAGGGCAGCTGCCGGTCACATCCCCAGCTTCAGAGTGATGTCTGCGGCTGCCGAGGGGCCGCTGTGGTCCTCGTGGTCTTGGGCCTGACCTCCCTCTCTTCCCGCAGCGAGCGTTCAACGCCACCGCGTTCCTGCGCCACATCCGTAAGCTGGGGCACGGCCCAGAGACCGAGGAGGCCTCTGAGCAGGGCAGGGCCCGCCACAGCCACCCAGGCCTCCGGGCTGGCCAGGCCCCCCAGTGGTGATGCCCAGGTGTGTGGTGTGGGCCCTGCACCTCCCACGGGCTGGCTCCTGCGGAGCGCAGAGGTGCCTGCACTCTGTGTGGCCAGGAACTAGGCAGGGTGGCCCTCCCAGGCCACAGGGCTGAGGGCAGGGAGCACAGAGGGTGGAGCATTGTCCCGAGGGAGGCACAAGGCCAGGAAGGGCCAGTGGGCGCCTGGCAGTGGGCTAGGGGCTGGGTGGGGGAGACCCAGCTGGCACCAGTCCTGACAGCCTCTGCGAAACCCAAGGCTTGACCATGGCGGAGGCGGGGGCTGGTGGGGAGACTCCTGACTGCCCCCCTTCCATCTGCTTCTTCCCCTAGGCAGATCCAAGGCCAAGTGGACTCACCCCCAGATTTCCTTCCCTTGGGGCCTTTCGGTGCCCTCCCCTCAGCCCCTCACCGGGGTTGGCCTCTGCTGGAGTTTGAGTTGTGTGATGTGGTGCATGGCGCTGGGGCGGCAGTGGGACACCCCCGTCCGCCCGCAGGCTCTGCCCTGCCCTGGGGCAGTGGCCCCCCACCCCTGTGGCCGCGATGAGGCGTCGGCAGGCCGGCTTCGGGGGCCGTCCTCCCCGCACGCTGTTCCTTGCTTCGCTGCCTGTGGGCGGTCCTGCTTGTGCTTGGCCCTCCAGCCTCCTCCAGTTCTCCCCCAAAATAAAGACAGAGCAACGGGCCGGTGATGAGCTGGGGGCGGGATGCGTGTGGACGAGATGGGATCACCTGTGGGAAGGAAATCAACGGGACCGTGCCACGCAGCCTCACCCGCTGCCACCTGGATCACGGTAGCATCGTGGCAGACGAGATCCGGACTGTCCAAGAACTTCCTGTCCCTGCCGCCCAAGGCACCAGCAAGTGGTGGCCTGGCCGGTTGGCTCTGCTGCCCTAGAGGTCTGACTGCGCAGCCTTGGGGCCCTAGGACTAAGGAGAGGTGGCACTGGCCTGCTGGGCTGCCAGCGGGGGCTATGGCGGAGGCCGGATGGGGTGGACTACTGTGCCCCTGCCACGCAGGGCCAGAAAGGGCTTGCAGGTGCATGGAGGGCTACCAGAGCCCAAGTCTCCTCCGCAGCTGCTGTGTCCTCCCACCTCTCCCTTCCTTCCCGTGGCCAGGCATCACCTTGTCATGTGGAGTGGTACAGAACCCAGGGGCCAGAGGGAGGGGGAAGCTCTTCGCCCAGGAGAGGGTGCCTGGGGGGACTTCTGCCCCATGCTGTGCTGGAGCTTTGGAGCCTGTGGACTGGGCCCTGGTGGACCTGGGCTGGCAGCTGGGGCCCCGCGAGCAGTGACAACGGGTTGGCTGTGGCTTCTGGTGTGAAGAGCCATGGCCTGTCCTCTGATTCATGTGCCCTAGCCCCTCCGGTGTCCATTCTGGCTCCTGGCCCCTTTAGGCCTTTCTCCTGGGTCCAGCAGGGGAATACCCCCTAGGGCCACTCCCGGTCCCAGCCAGAGTTCCAGGCTAGCTAGGCATCCCTTCCCCCTCCCCTCTGAGACCCCTGCTTCCTGCCAGCACCCAGGGTGGGAGCTTGACTGGGGGGCATGGTGGGGAATTCTCCTCCTTTTACTGAACTAGGGGACCCAAAGGGAGGCGGCGAGGCACAAGCCGAGTCTGGCCTGGGTCTCAGGAGCAGAGGCTGGAGTGGTGCTCGGGGCTGGGGCCGGGGTCTGGCTTCCACCAAGAGCAGGCTGGAGGGGGTGGGCACCTTCCTCCTTCACCCCCGCAGACACTGCCAGGCCATCCGTTGCTATGGGCTTTGGGTCTTACCTGCCCACAGGCCTCCTTACCTCCAAGCCCCGTCCTGCCTCCCTAAGCCCCCACCCGGGGCATTGTTGCCCGCTGGCATTCCCGCAGCTGGCTCTGCTCATCATCTCTTCAGTTGTTTATGCTGGACTCCCACGACACCCCTTGTTCTTGTTTTGGCCTTCAAGTGTGGGTTACACCTCCTCTCTGGGCCAGGTGCCTGCCCTCCAAGAGGAGCCGCGGTTCCTGGGATGATGCAGACGATCTTCAGGGAAAGCAGCATGCTGGCTGCTCTGGGAGCCTCGAGTGGGAGCGCCAGGGACAGGCTTCTAGAAGAAGCCAGCACTTGCTCAGAGACAGCCAGCTCTTCCAGTCCAGGCATGTGGCCAGGTCGCTTTGCAGAGCTGGGACCCCGGCTCCTGGCTGCCTTGACACAAGGTGCCATTTAGCCTCCCGTCAGCAGGGGGCGCCACAGTCCCATCTTTAGACATCCAGTGGCCGCCCCTTCAGCACTTTAGTTCTTTCAGCACCTGGGCAACCTCTCAAACACATTATTTCCCTTCACCACCCCCCACAATCCTGCCTAGGGAAGACACACTTAGGGCAGAGCTTCTCCGATCTGTGAGTGGGGCGAGAGGGGGCCCCCCAGGTCAGACAGAGGCAGCACCCCCCCCAATCCCTCGGAGACCTGCGCATCTGAGAAGGGCAGTTGGGGCCAGCTAGGTACTGGAGGGTGCAGCCAGGAGAGAGGAAGGACTGGCCCGGCCGAGGGTGGGGGGAGCGTGGGGGGTGGGGGCCACGGTAAGGGCGTATCAGGCTCAGGGAGCAGCAGGGGAGCAGGCAGGCGGCTGGTGCCTTACCGGCCAGATCAGCCTAGAGGTGGGAAAGGGTGGCAGCCTTGGGCCAGGAGCAGTGGGGAGCCCTGAGTGGGGTCTCAGCCAGACAACGCCCCATCCAGAGGGTTAGGTGCTGAGCTCGAGCGGGTTGCAAAACTCAGGGTATCGGGAGCCAGACCAGAACAGAGGACGTGTGTGGGTGTCACGCGAGAAAGCAGTTTCCTCTGTTCTGGGCCACAAAGGGTGGGTCACGGTCTCTATCTTGGAGCAAACCTGCAGGTGGCAGAGGTTCAAGGGAAGCTCAGCTTGTGGGCCCATGCGGGACTCGGGGACCTGGAGGTGGCCCTAGGAGCTCCCTAGCAGTCGAGTGGACAGGCCTTGGTGATGGGTGGGGGTGGGGAATGAAGGCGGGGCCCAGGTAGCTCGCAGGTCTGACAGTAGAATATCTGCCAGGGAGGCTTTGCGGGAGGGGTGATGAGATCGGTCCTGGACGTGGTGAGCTGGAGATGCTGGAGGGACACGAAAGTAGAGAGAAAGTGACTTCTTACCCTGCTCTGAAGATATTTGTCCAGCTTTATAATGGTCTTTGTGGAAGGCTTGTTCCTTCCAATGAGAATGCTAATAGCGACTCTTTGTTGAGCACCCACTGTGTGCCAGGCATTGTTTCGAAGCATTTCGTATGTATTAATTTGAACTTCACCTGTGAGGTAGCTCTTATCCTTAGCCCGTCCCCACTTTACATATGGGGAAACTGAGGCACAGAGTGACTAAGTAACTGAGCCAAGGCCACACAGCTTGTGACAGAGTGAGGATTTGAACCCATACTCTCCCATGGCATTCTCCTGCCTGTCTTCATGGGAGTGATGCCTTGCTTGAGACATAAGAATTGTGTGGGGGACAAGGGCAACAAGGGTGGGGGTTCTTTCTACCCTTCTCATTGTGCTGAAGGAGAAAGAACACTGGGCTGGGGGAACCTGCCCTGGATCTGAATTTGGGCCTTGCAAGTGGTTTGTGTGACTGTTAACATCCTCTGTGCTTCAATTGGCGGTCCTATTAGGTGGGGACCAGGGAAGTCTGTCCACGGTGGTAGGGATGGGGTCTTGGATGTGGGCCCTACAAAGATCCCTCTGGAGTCCAGCATGAGCAACAGCCCAGAAGTGGGACAGGACAGAGTTGGAGGCAAGAGAAGGAGAGAGCGTGGACCAAGGTCGCTCGAGCGGAAAGAGAGAGCTCGGTCACAGAGGACTCGGTGGGGCGGGGGTTGGAACTTTACTGCTGTGAGGCAGTAAAGGCTGCTGCCAGGGAGAGAGAAGCAGGGCTACTCAGAAGATGAAGGGGCCACCCAGGCCCCATGGCTGGTCCGTGACCGAGTTGGCGCTGTAAGCAACACATTCCTTCTTGCCAGGCACTGTTGGAGCGTGTGGCGACCGAATTCTCCACCCAGCTTCATCCTAGCACGCCTATCTTCCTCCTCAATGCCAGGTGGGCCAGATAAGAAATATGGAGTATTTGAGAAACGCTGCAGGATTTTAAGCGAAACAAGTGACAGGATCAGATTTTTTTTGCTTTGAGAGTTTTTCAATATTTTAAAGCCCTACCTGGATCCTTTTGATCAATGTACAAACCTCACATCCATTTCTCCAGATATCCTCCCTCATACCCCATGGAGGTTTTGATAGCTTCCTCACAGTAGAGAGTCAAGTCTTGCCTCGAATGATGCCCTCAGTAGAGACACAACTGCTTTTTGCTTGTTTCTCCTTGTAGTTCTTTCAATTATTGCTTTATGTATTTTTGAGTTTTGTTCTTAAGTGTATATGAGTTTCAAATTGCTATATATTTCGGGTAACTTGAATAGTTGATGAAAATGTAGTGACATGCATTGGTACTAGTAATGCTTTTCTCTTATATTAAAATAGCAATTCTAGCCTTTTCTTGGTTAATATTTGCTTGCTATATCTTCTTCAATCCTTTTCCTTTCAAACTTAAAATTTGTTTTTATTGAGCTATAATTCACATGCCATAGAATTCACCCTTTAAAATGTACAATTCAGTGGTCTTTAGCATGTTTACAAAGTTTTGCAACCATCACCACTATCTAATTCTAGGACATTTTCATCACCCCAGAAAGAAACCCAGCATGCATTTGCAGTCACTCCCCATTTATACCTTTCCCTGCCCCCAGCAACCACAAACTTTCTATCTCTGTGGATTTGCTTAATCCAATATTTCATATAAATGGAATCATACCATGTGTGGACTCGTGTGTGGTTTACCCTTAGCGTAACGTTTTCAGGGTTCTTCCACATTGTTGCTTGAATCAGTACTTCTTTTTATAGCCGAATAATATTTCATTGTATGGATAGACCACATTTTGTTTGCCATTGATGGATACTTGGGTTGTTCCCATCTTTTAGCTATCGTGAATAATGCTGTTATGAACAATTGTGTGCAAGTTTTGATATGGACATATATTTTCAATTGCCTTGGATATATACCTAGGAATGGAATTGCTGGAGCATGTGGTAACTCCATATTGAATTTTAAAGGAAATGTCAACCTATTTTCCAATAAGACTGCACCATTTTGCATTCCCACTAGCAATGCATGGGGGTTCCAGTTTCTCTACATCCTTATCAACACTTGCTATTGTCTGTGATTTTTAAGATAGCCATCCTAGTGTGTGTGAAAGTGACATCTCATTGTGGTTTTGATTTGCATTTATCTAATGACCAACGATGTTGACCATCTTTTCATGTACTTAATCATCTGTATATCTTCTTTGAAAAAATGTTTTAAAAAAACTTTTGTTCATTTTTTTAATTGGATAATTTGCCTTTTTATTGTTGAGCTCCAAGGGTTCTTTCTTTATGTATTCTGGCTATTAGATCCTTATCAGATATATAATTTGTACATATTTTCTCCTATTCTGTGGGTTGTCTTTTCACTCTTTGTTGGTGTCTTCTGATATATAATGTTTTAAAGTTGTGATGAAGTCCAATTTATCTATTTTTCTCTTTGGTTGCTTGTGTGTTTTTGGTGCAATGTCTAAGAAACCATTGCTTAATCAAGGCAGCTGTCTACAAACCGTACAGGG